ATTAATTGGTGCTTCAAGATTTCTTCTCCTACTTGACATCAATTTATCCCACCAAATTTGAGCATATTGTTTGAATTGAGCAATGCATAACAGTACCTTCTTTTCATCACTAAAATTATGACAGCTGAACACCGACTCCACCGTTTTCTCCCATTGAAGGTACTCCTCTGGATCGGTTTTTCCATAAAACATGGGAAGTTTTAATTTGATGCTCCCCACGTTACGATCAATTCTATCATCATAAGAAACTCGTTGTTGTAAATTATGATACCTTCTTCCATGGTCTCTCCCTTGCATCAAGCCATGACCAACCACATGTGGATTATCCTCGTGGTGATCAGAATTTTCGCCCTCATATGTATCGGTTGAGGGCGTAGGTAGTGGAATCCTCTGTCGAGCTTGATTTTGAATCTCCAATCTACCTATTCGATCAGTCAACTCTTCTATTCCTCGAATTAGTCTTTCCATGGTTCGTTGTTGGGCTTCTCTCAATCGTGCATCAGTAATGTCAGTATTGTCCTCTAGATTTTCCATGCTACAAAAAAAAAGGACCTCACAAGCGCTCCCTCACGTGTATTCACTCGTAAATGTAGTTCACTCGTGTTTAGCACTCAACACTCGAATCAATGTGTCACTCCCTTACAAACTCACCCTCACAATTGAGCACACACAAATCACACTCCAAAAAACAAATTGGGATGTGAGACAAGCTATGTTATAGAGCTAAGTGCAATTCAAAGTGAATAGACAGCACACTCAAGACATACACAAGGGTATTGAAGGAGCAATCCGAATAACGACAAAGAAACGAATTAAAGAAAGAAAATGATTAAGGACTAATGTAGACGTAGTAACATTGAGAGTTACATATAATAATCAAGAGGAAAAAAAAAGACATGTAACATCAATATGCTTTCTTTCTTTCAATAGTTTTTTTTGTTTTCCCTCTGATTGGCAAAATATAATCAATTTATCAACAAGAAAATTTATTTAGAAGATCTTAAAGAACAAAGTGTTAATAAGATCCAGATCTAACACTTTAAAGAACATAAGATTTTTTTTTTTNGAAAAAAAAAAAGTGTTGATAAGATCCAGATCTAACACTCTAAAGAACATAAGATTTTTTTTTTTGTTATATATTTTTGTGATAGAACATGAACATTCTACACAAACTGAGAAAAAAAATTATAAGAGAATTAAAAGAGATAAGCACAATGAAACATATATTCGATCTTGAGCCTGAAGCTCTGATACCAAATGATATGGAAAATCAACCCAAGGGAAAGTATGGAACGGATTACCTTGATGATCAAGATCAAGAGTAAAGAAAACTCGTTTCTAAACTCGTGATTCGAATCACTCCACAAGAGGTTTGATCAATACCACTTGAATGACTCTACATGCAAGTTCTAAATACAAGAATTTGCAAAGAAAGTTTAGCTCTCAACAAAACTAAAATAGAAATTCTATTCTTAATTCCAACATCTGATGTCTAATCAAAGAAAAGAAGGCTTTATATAGCCCTTACAACCTTAACCTATGGATATATAACTCCCAAATTAAATGGGGTAGTAAATGAAAAATACCCATAACCTCCATATTAAAATGGCTAGTTAATGGTGGAATATACTAACCTATGTGGGTTACAATATAACCTTAACTCCTATATTTAAAACTAGCTTAAATATGACAAACAAATATTTAAACTTTAATTAAATAATGCAATTAATAAAATGTGCTTATTGACTCATCCTTGGACTAGTTTCATAAATTCAGTGGAGTTCATTAAATGCAACTTAAAGTGCATTTAATTCATCTCTTTCTTGAAGCTCAACTTTGCACAACATATAAGGGAGGTCTTCAGCGTCTTCTAGAATTTCCTTTGATGAGCTCACCATATCTTGAATATAACTGTATAAGGTTTGTTGTAGTTTCTTAGCTCTCGTCCTTGTAATTGGACCTTCAGGTATGGAAATTCCTTGGTCGTGGTTCATATCAATTAATCTTTAGAGTGTGTACTGGTCAATTAGGGAATAAAACAAACAATGCTAAAGCTAGAAAGGCAAGGTAAGGTCAGTCATATATATTGGAAAAGGTTACGTACGAAGTGTTTAAAGGGACAAGTCATTGAGTTCAGAAGTAATAGTCCTGTTCCACCGAATGAATCTTGTCTTGCTTTCTATTACAGGATTGAATGAATAAGCTAAATAGGAGAAGTAGCTAATGAATTGACTTTATAGGAATATATCTGATTCTATGTCTTCTTCTTCCATTATCTTCATTTACCAAAGCAGCAAATCCTTCTTCAGGGTCAGGTAATACAATATCTATTGGTTCAGGTCAGGAAGTAGCTCAGTCAGGTCATATCACAAGGAAGGAAGTAAAGAAGAGAAGAGACCTACAGAAAACAAAAAAAAGAGAACATAGGCTCAGGGAAAGTAATATCAAAGAAGCTAAGGTGATTGAGCTTCTCTTTCATTTTCTTCGTCGGTTACAGTCTTTGAAGGAAATCTGATTCTTCTTCTTTGCTTCTTTACTGAGTGAAAGAAGAATCGACCAGTTTACCCTTCAGGTTCAGGCAATGAAATTGTTCAACCTTGTTCATGAGGTTCAGGGGATATAGTTAAGTCGAATTCATCCCTTTTCTTACAGTTAAAGAAAGAGGAGCGCAGCAACGAGACCGATAGGTTTAGTAGCTCTTTTTTGGTTTCTTCTTCTTTTACCGTTCTGATAGAGTCAAAAAATAGTGAAATCAGGGAAAACATCCCTAAAAATAGGGAGAGGATAGAATTTCTTTATTCTTGGTCTTTACAGAAGTTCAATCAATAGAAGCTTGATCTTTAGTTTCCCTGTTGAGTCTTAACTTGAAACACTTCCTCCCTTTTTTCTTTGTTCCTGTTCCAGAGTGCAAGGAGAATTCTTGTTGAGTCTTGACTGACTGTTCCAAATCTAAAATGTTTCATTTCGTCTTTCCTTCTGTATTACCTAAAAAATGAAACCAGTCCTCTAGTACCAACTAAATAAGAAATGGTCTTTACAAATCAAACATGTTTCATTTCATTCTCCCTATAACTGTCAAGTTTCATTCTTCTTTCTTGTCTGTCTTGCTTTCATCTCCTTTCTTTCATGAATTGACTTTCATCTACTTACCTTGTTCCATCTGGGAGTTCTCGTTCAGGGGCAGGATCAAGAAGTCGGCCGAGGGGAAGGGTTTCATTCAGTAGCTCAAGTTCAGGAGTAAAGGAGTTTACTGAGTGGGACAGGTTCCGGAGTGAAGGAAGTAGCTCAGGGCATATATATCGTATAAGGAGGGAAGCGAATCATTCGCTGCTCTTTCTTCTCTTCATTTACAGTTCCGGAAGGGAATGCAAAGGAAATGGAATTGCGAGACTCGAAGAGAAGCGGGGAAGGCTTTCTCTTGCTTTTGGCTTGATTGACATCCTGTTCCGGATTGAACTGTAAGGGATGGGTTCCGAAGAAAGAAATAAATAGGTAGGTTCCGGAGAAAGAAGAAATAGGAGAGAAATTCGTTCATTCGCTTCTCTTTCTTGACTTCAAGTTACAGTTCATCAACTAATCAAATTTTTTTCTTGCACTCTATCTTCGTCTTCTGACTTTGACTCTCCACTCACCCATTATATTGGTTGAACAATTCCATTTACTTCAAACACTTACAGCGCTGTCTTCTTCTTTGTTTACAATTCAATTAGGTTCAGGGGAAGGGGCGAAGGGTTGAGGTTGAGTCTGAAAAAGATGTTAAGGAGTGACATCCGTAGGATAAGGATAAAGAATAAATGGGTGGTTCGGGTTCATTCGCTTCTCTTTCTTTCGTTCCGGGGAAGGTTTTCTCTTTCGGATTTCATTCCTGTTCTGGAGCTCGACTGTAAACTAATCTTTTGTCTTTCCTGTACCTGAATTGATACAAACACTGTAGTAAAGGGTCCGGTTCAGGATTTCATTCATTGTTTGAATAAGTTCCCCGAATTGAATGAATTGAAAGAATAGGGTTAGGTTCAGTAGCTCTCAGTTAAGGAAATTGAATCCTGAGACTGTAGTAAAGGATTTGAAATGGAATTGCTTTACCTCCTTCCGGTAATAGAGTAGAGTATAAGGTATAAGGTTCTGGTTCTAGGGAAGTAGCTCGACGAGACTGTAAAGGAGAGGATCGGGGAAGGGTTTCTCTTGCTTGAGTCTTGACTTCCGGTTCACACTACTCTTATTCATAAGTAGTAGAGTCAAAGGGGAAGGAGTAAGTAGCTCGACAATAAAGCAGATGAATAAGGAGTTTATTGAGTGTTTACTGTTCCAGAATAAATAGGTATAGGACCAAAGACGCTCGACTAATAGTTTACGAGGTTCAGGAGCCAGAGTTTAGCCTAGTTCGATAAGTGAGTGGGATCAGTCTAATGAAGAAAGAGTCTTTGTCTTGACTCCCTTCTTTCTATCTCTTATCTGTGATTTACTCCCCAGCAACTAATTCATTGATTCTGTTTCTGTAAAGGTGATTTGATTGAGCTCAGGGCGGGCATATCAGTTCCAGAGCTAAGGGAATGGAATTGTGTGAAGCTTTGATTCGTTTACAGTCTTTGAAGGTTCAGGAGCGAAGCTGTTCAACCGACATGTGAAGGGGAAGTAGTTCAACCCTTGTTTACTGTTCAAGAAAGAAAAGCAAAGAGACCGGCCATATGCCCTGTTCCGGAGAGAAGCTGAGGAATCAGATAAAGAACCAAACAAACACCTATTCGTTCTATTTACCTTGTTCAATAAGGGAAGGGAAAGAAAAGAGACCGTAACGGATAGGAAAAGGTGTAGGAGTGAACTCGAATGACTCTTTCGTCTTATCTTGAAAAACAGCTAAGGAGCGAAGCGAACATCCTTTCATTGATTATCGAACTGTAATCATTCATCTAGCTTGAGTATTTCTCTTTTACAGTTCAACCACCCGAGTTCAGGGACAAGTGATTTAGTTTTGGAGCCGAAGTGAAAGCAAGGTTCAGGAGTGAAGATGCAAGACCATAAGGATAAAGTAAAGGATAGAAGCAGATGCAAACATACCGAGTTCAAGAGTGAAAGAAGGCAGAGCCAATGGAATTGCGAGACCATAAAGTAAAGGACAGACGATTCACCTATTTAACTACCGAGTTTTTAAAGGAAAAGGTTCAGTAGTTCAGGAGAATGCAGAGAGAGTCAAGTCAATGAATTAGTTTACTGAGTGTTTGAGTGAAAGAAGGTGTAGGAGAAAGAATCTTGTCTCCCAGATTGTTGGTTTCGGCTTTCAAAGCAGCTAACTTCTTCAATAAGGCAAGGGCACATAGGTTCCCAAGAGAATGAATCTTGTCTTTCTCTTATGATTTCGAATTGTAAAGGAATATCTTTCTTCTTCTTCTACTAGCTTGACCTTGTGAAAGGGTGAAAGAAAAGAGAGTGCTTTACCTCCTGAAATAAGGAGTAGGAATAGAGGTTCATGAGCTCTCGTGTCAACCACTTCCTCTTTGACTAACTTCATAGGGTGTAGTGGTGAAGGTGAATGGGCGAAGCCATGAGACCAAGTTGTAGAGGGGCAGAGGCGAAGACCTGAGACCTGTAGGGCAAAGATGCAAAGACACGAGAAGAGTTTACGAGATTCAGGATTTCATAGGAACAAAATAAGGGGAAGAGACTATAAAATAGCTTTATCGAGTTCTCGAATAGTTAAACCCTTGTTGAAGAGGTTCATGTGTCAAATTAGGTTCAGGTTCATGTGTCAAACCCTTGTTAAACCCTTCTTTTCTTACGGTTCAATCAGCAGGGAGAGAGAGTCAATTCATTTCATATTCTTTCCTGAGGTTATAGTGAATAGCATGGGGAGAGGAAAGATCAGAGACCGTAAAATAGCTTTCCCTGATTCTTCTCATCCAGCCTATGTAAAAGAGTTAAATGACCTAAAAAATCGGGAATATCGGTTCCTCAGGGAATGAATCTTGTTTGAGTCTTCTTCCTTCTTTCTTTGTGCCTGTTATGGAGGGTAAGTCGCTCTCCTGTTAAGCAGCTAACTCCTGAAATAAGGCAATGGAAGCCACTTTACCTCCTTTCGTTCATATCTGGCGGGGCCAGAAGTTGCTCAAGGCTAGAAAGGCAAGGTCAGGGAAGAAATAATGTATAAGTAGCTCTCCTGTCCTGTTTCGGATGGAAAAGGGATAATTTCTCTTGTCTCCCTGATAGTTGGTTGAGTCTTGAAAAGCAGCTAAGGAGCGAAGGAGCTCTCCTCAAAAAGGGGAGGAGTTTACTGTTCAATCAGTAGGAGTAGAGTCTTTCCTGTCCCTGAATTTATTCAAAGACTGTAAAGTAAAGATCCAGTGAAGGATTGAATGAATTGAAAGAATAGGTGTAGGATTGAATGAATTGAAAGAGTAGTAGGGTATGGTGAAGTAGCTCTCGGTTTAGGAAATTGAATTGCACCCCTCGAAGACGATCGGAGTCCTAGTTCAAGAAGTACAATGCAGGGTTACTCTCACTCTCTTTATCTCACTCTCTCCCTTCTTTCTTTGTGCCACTGAAGGGACTATCGTTAAGAAAAGGGGAAGTCGCTGATCTTTCTCTTTGTTTACAGTCGAGTAAAAGAGTGAAAGCAAGAAAAGAGCTTCTCATCCAACTTACCTAGTTTAACCCGAGTGTTTGAATAACTCACAATCACTTCCTGAGAATAACTCACAATCACTGACGAGAATATCGTCAATTAACCAGTGAATGAGCGTGTCAACCACTAACCTTGTTCAAGAATAAATAGGTGTAGGAGCTTTTCCTTCTTCTCATCCTTCCAGCCTTCCGAACTCATTACCTCGTGAAAGAGTGAAATCAGGTTCAGGTTCTTCAATCAAATAGCTTTACCATCCTTGTTCGTTCAAGAGTGAAATCAGTCTCATTCATCTTGAGGTTGAGTCTTTCAAAGCAACGCTAATTCATTTCCTTCTAAAACTGTAAAGAAGGATAATTCCTCTTGTCTTGCTTGAGTCTTTCCCCTTCTTGTTCTATCTCATTTAGCTTTCCTTAACCCTGACTTAAAGAAAGAAAGAAAGACCCAGAAAGAAAGAAAGACCCACACCTATTTAGTCGTTCAATCAAAGAGATAGTGAAACCCGAGTGAAAGAATCAATAGGGACAAGAAGGGAGAGGAGAAAGAGCTGGTCAACAATAGGTGATTGAGCGCAGCAAGGAGACAAGAATAGTTCAGAATAGCTTTCCCTTGTTGGAGAGGTTCAAGGGAAGGAGCGAAGCCGTGAGACCGAGGTTACCAGGTGAATGAGCTTGGCCTAGTTCAATCACTCGAATGAATCTCTTTCCTTTGATTCTAGAACTGTAAAGGAGTTAAGCTAATTCATTGACTCTCTCTTGTTTCGGTTCTGGTTCAGTAGTTCAGGAGAGAAGTTGATAGTTTAGAGGTTCAGGTTCAGTAGTTCAGTCTGTGTTTACTGTTCAAGAAGGATTTCATATGCTTTTACCGATTGTAAAGGTTCAAGAGTGAAATCAAGGATCAAATCAAGAAGCCGGCCGAGGGGAAGGTTTAGGAGCAGGAGAAAGAAGCAAGCAGTGAGACCGATAGGTGAAGGTGAAGTAGCTCAGGGTTTCGGTTTCAGCTTTCAAAGTAGCTAACTCTAGAATTTCTTCTTTTTCTGTAAATTCGGATAGTCATTTTTGCTTTCTTCTTTCCTACCTGATTATTCTTTTCTTTGAGAAAGGTAAACTCTAACTCTCTCATTAACTTTCTTACCTCTTTCCTCTCCTGTAACGGTTCAGTAGTTCACTCTCATTCATAAGGAGTGGAGTGTTTACGGTTCGTTCAAGAATCATCCTCCCTGAATATGTTTTACCTACTGTAAAGGTTCAAGAGTGAAATCAAGGATCAGATCAAGAAGCCAACCGAGGAAAAGGTTTAAGGAATCAGATTATGAATCGGAAAAGTGCGAAGCTGCTCTCCGAGGATCGAAGTTTACTATTCAAGCTGTTCAATCTGAGAAGGGAATAGAGTCTTTGGTTCCGGAGCTATTAAGAAGGAATCGGAAAGAATATGCTTTACCTCATTCAAGAAGTAGGAGCTTGATCTTTAGTCTCCCTTCTTTCTTTGTTCCAGAGTGAAGTTCATGAAGTAGCTCAGGGCATATCGGTTCTGGGTCAGGGGTTTACAGTTCCTTCATAAATAGGTTCCTTCATTCATCAGGTAAATAGGTGTTTGCATCTTCTGTCCTTCCACCTTCTTTCACTGTAAAGGATAGTTAATTCATAAGAAGTTCCCGGATCGAATTCATTGTTTGAATAGGTTCTGGAGCTCTCCTGTCCTGTTCCAGATTGACTGAATTTCCTCTCATGTAAAGGAAAGGAGTAAAGCGACCTTGTTTACTGTGTTTGAAAGAGTGAATGAATAAGGGAATAAAGGTGAATGAGCTCTCATGTCAACCACTGACCTTGTTCAAGAATAACGAACCATAACTGAGGGGAATAGAGATAGGCTCCAGTTCAGTCTCATTAATCTTTCCTTCCTGGGGTTCCATCTCAGTCATTAAAAGAATAGATTCCGGCCAGAGTTCAAGAAGGGACAAGTTCAGTAGTTAAGTCTCATGAGTCTTTCTTCTTCTTTTCTTTACTCGACTGTAAAGCTATTTTGCTGCTAACTCTTGAATTTCTTCCTTCTATCCTGTTCTATCGAATTCCTCTTTCCTCTCCTGTAAAATGAAGTAGCTCTTTGTTTAGTCTCCTGGATTGAATGAATAAGGGAAATAGGGGAAGGTCAGGTAATATCGTAGAGGTTCTGGTTTCGGATTGAATGAATGGACTCTCCTGTCAGCTAATTCATCTTGAGTAGAGTGTTTACAGTGAAAGAAAAGATCAGGTCCATAATCAATAGGAAAAGGCAATGGAAGGTTCTTATCTATCATCCAATCGCTTTACCCAAGAAAGAGTGAAAGAAGAATAGTTTAGGTTTGAGGTTGAGTCTTTGCTGCTAATTCATTGATTCTTGTCTTGCCTGATTCTAATCCTTAATAATTAATTACATCTAGCCAAAAATATCCCTCAAAATAGATAGAAGATAGAATTTTCTAATTCATGGTCTTTAGAGTCTCATTCAGAAAGAAATAGGGGAAGGAGCTTGGCCTTATTCACTGTTCGTTCAGTAGCTCATGAATCGAAATAAAGTCATATCGGGGCCGGAAATAGCGAAGGGAAGGGGCAGGGTTCAATAGCTAATTACTCTCCTGTAAAGGATCATGATTCGTTTCGTCTTCACTCTCCCTGAATTTCTTCTTTCACAATAAAGTCGAATGAATGAATAAGGAGTCTTGCCTTCCTTGTCCGGAAAATGAATCTTGAATTGGATTCGGAAAGAAAAGAGATAGTTCAACCAACCCTTGTTTACGAGGTTCAGGAGAAGGAATCTTTTGTAGAGACTCTACCTTCTTTCTCTATCGGTTACGGTTCAGGATAATTCATGTTTGTTTCTTCCTCTTTCCCTTCTGGCATTCTCTTCAGGTTTAGTAGCTCAGCAATGAGATTGACAATGAATAGGTTCAGGTTCATGAGCTTCTCTTTCTTTTGAAGTTCAATCTGGTTCAGGAGTTCAGAATCATAATAGGATTCAGTATGGAGAGGAGTGAAAGAAGGTTTCGTCGATTCAGGTTCTTTAAATAGCGCTTTAACGTTTAATTAGGTTCAGGTTTGAGGTTTCTTCTTGACTTCCTTAATGAAAGAACGAAAGAACGTGAACGATCATTCTAGTCTAGTTTCTTACAGGAGAGGAGAGTCAAAGAGTGAAAAGAGAAAGAGAAGTTCAATAATAAATAGGTGAAGGAAAGAACATCAGGTTCCGGTTCAGGAGTCAATAGGGAGAGGTAAATGAGTTTACAGTGAATAAATAGGGAATATCATCAAAGGTTTAGGAGTGAAAGAAGGTTCCGGCAATGGGATGGAAGTTTATCGAGTGTAGGAATAGTTCAAGAGTGAAAGAGGGTGAAGGTTTAGTAGTTAAGTCGAATAAATAGTCTTTACTTACAGGCGAATGAAGAAATAGAGTAGTTAAGGCAATGGAATTCTGAGACATAGAATAGAGGAGT